AGCAATGCAGGTTTCCCAGTCTGTAGGAGAAATTGTCAGACTAGTCTGGCAGGTGGATGACCCCAGCGTAGGCTCCCATATGAAGTTCTTCTAACACACTGAGATGCCCTGTCACAGAGCAAACCTGAAAGGCTGACAGAGAGGACCTGCTCTCAATCTTTTTTGAATATTGTGCAGTGGAAACTGCTACAAAATTATGTGAGGTAACTATCATTCTCCTTTTTTTCCTGAGTGACAGAATTAAGACTCCCGCTAGGGACAGACTACCATATGAAACCCCAGGAAAAAGTTCAGAAGGCTTCTGTGCAGGTGGAAAGTCTCCTGTATACTTTCAGGATGAATGTACTTTCATGTTCTACAGTGAAGAAAAGTAATTGGACGAAGACTCTGCGAGTACAAATGTGCTGAGCTTACAATGTCCTTTATGAAAGAAATTAACAATGTCCTGGGCTCAGAACAGAGCACAGCTCTTTAGTTATGTTTCATCCCATCTCTAACCTTGTACTTCATTAAACAACCAAGATCTCCCAAGGTGACTTGATTGCTCTTGAAATGTTTCTAACAGATCTGACAGTTGATGTGCACTCTAGAAACAAAGTTACCTGTTTCTCACAGACAATAGTGTTAATCGTTCCTTTCTCTGTGTTTGAAGTGTGTAAATACAGCCTATTTGACCTTGAACAAAGTAAAAAAATTAACAAACAAAACCACATTGTAACCCTCTAACATCAAAGGATAATATAAAAGGAAAGATAAAGAAGAGGGCAGAATCTTAATGATCTTCTGTTTCCTTTCCTTTAAATTGACTGTCACTCACTTAGCTCATCCCGAAGGGTCTTGTGCTGAATTCCTTACCTTTGTGGATTACCAGATGTTCATGTTAACCCAAGCGTCCCACTTACCACCTATCCACATGGCTACAGCCAAGTAAACACTGACCTGGCTCTGCTCCAGGAAGTCTTAATTTGTCCAAATGTACTTCTAGCTGTCGGTAAACCTTTTGCTCGGCCACACATTGTAACTCTTAAATCACCGATTCTTTATTGCATATGGGTTGAATCTCATGTTACACTTCAAAACGCTGAGCCAAAGACAAGTAAATAACTTGGGAGCCGGAGATGAGGGGAGTAGGAGGAAGAAGTCATAGCTGTGTAAAATACTTGAAAGGCCTCATTAGATGTCAGTGTAGCTGCTGCATTAGATATCAGTTGTCACTGCCAACTGATCTGTTTGACTCCGTGGTACTTTCAGAGATTACAGTTGACAGAACAATATCTACCACCAGTTCATGTGACAAAGAGGTGCTTAATTTATTTGATCTGGAGGTGTTGACTTGCTTTGGTGGATCTTATACTTCCCTTTCGCATGTGCCCCCCAGCTGTTCCTGTGTCTCAGATCTATGTTTTACCCAGTGCTGTGGTTAGAGGGCTAATGTGTGAATTCAGCTGAATTACCCATCAAAATGGTGTTGTGGAGAACACCCTAGTTAGAGGTAAAGTGGTGTTGTTTGTCAGTGTTTTCAATGGTAATATTTCAGAGATGTCAGCATAAGAAACTTTCTCAAAGCCAGAATTTTGAGGAAGTGAAACTTTTTTTAAAAGTGAAAGCAGGTATCTGGCCTTAGGTATCTAAAAGGTATCTGGTCCTTTGGTCTACACTGGAACATCAGAAATGGCTGCAGCAAGAAGTACTCATGGCAAAGCCAGAAGCTGCTCCTCAGGAGAATCAGTGGTTGTGTTGGCTTTCAATTACTGCACAGCCCCTTCAAATGGAAAAGGTTTCTTTCCAGTTTAATTTTTTTTTTTTTCTTTTGATCTTCAGAGTCTGCTACAAAATTACTGATATTAAGATTTTTGGAGGAGGGGATGAAATCTGGGTGTGATGCTAGGATGCTGGGACTCTTTCTAACTTGGTTTCCCAAGCTGCTGACATATATCAACTGCTGAGCCAGCCTCACCTCTTCTGTTATAAGATGTTGATATTATTTAGGTACTTCAAAAGGACTGGTTAATTAACAACAGCTTGTAGAGTCATTTCAAGATAGAAAAACATGGCAATTACAGCAAAGAGTAAAGGCACTGCAGGATAATTCTCATTGATGATAATGTTGATTAACAAATTTGCAGATCTAATAAACACTGTTACTGCTTTTGAGTGCAAAAGCAGGTGAAGAGTTGCCATGAGAACCGATACAGCTGAGTGTGCTGTAGTTCAGCACTACTGAAGTCTCTTTATTATTATGATAATTGTATTCATTGATTACTAAGGGTAGATTTACCAAAGTGAGGGACTGTCACTCTCTCATTAACTCTGTCTGATCGTGTACATGCTGTGTGTCATTTGAAAGGAGCAAGCACCTTGTGACAGTCTCACTCTCCCCTCCTTCTTCCAGCCACCTTGTGATGGGCTCTATCCCAGCTGGATGCGAACACAAAACCAGCAGAGGTGCTTAAGGCACCACGCAAACAAAACTGTATAACATGAAAAATAATTTTCAAGCATTGCCCCTTTCTCAGCTCTTGATGCTAATCAACAACATCCTGAAGTTTTTTAACCTTCTCTTCTTTAACAGATGGCATGTTTCAATATTTTCTTTTTTATGTTGAGGCATTTTGAAATTACTTAGGAAAATTCTAAGGATCTTCTAACTAGTAGTTTGAGAATTTCAGGATACATTTGTTTTTCATCTGTCTTTACCAATTTTTATTTTTTTAAAATTTGTTTTTATTATTTCCAGCTCCAGTGTATGGTCCACTGGGTAGAGACAAATTAATTAATGTCAAAGTAATCTTTTCTATTTCACTCAAACAGCTAAAACTCTCATTTAAGAGGGGTAAATATAGGTACAATTCTCATTTTTTCAAGCTCTGCCTTGTGAGCTAATACCACATTGGCTACTTGCTGCCTTAGGAGCACAATTAAACCATATTTTAAAAAGGTAGAGACTCTACTTTCTCCTGAGTAATGAACTCATGGTCAACAGATTAGTATCTTGCTCTTCGCAGATCTAGGCTGTCAGATTTGAACTCCAGAGCCTGATGATGCTAGGCTGTTTCTGGTGGACATGCTACAGTAGCAAGACACAGGGGAACAGGGCTTGGCTCTGTAACTCTGTAGGTAGTTGCAACAGCTATGTTGTGACTTTTTACCAATGTGACAATAAATCAGAAAAAAAGATCTCTGAAGTAATCTGTGCACTGTGGAGGGCCTTTTTGTGTTTTAATAATTCTGGTTTTGCCTGAACACCAAATCTGTATGATCAAGCTTTGCACTCTGGGACTTATTTGCAGCTGCAAGTAAGTAGCTTTGTTTTCTTGCATAGTCAGTGAAAAAAACTTTTTCAGAGAGGTATTCAGAACCAGTATTTCTCTTAGTGCTTCAAGGACTGCTCTCTCTCTCTTTCTCTCCATTGCCTAAAGACAATGGCTACAAATACTATTTTGCTAGTATAGGCACTTCAGTTAGGTAACTAAAACAATGCATAGGAGTACTTGCTGTGGGCGCATTGCAACTTGCCGTGGTGAAGTGCCATTGTCTCTTTACAGGGCGAGAATTGCTGCAGTGAAATGCTGTTGTGTCTTTACATGGCAGATAGGAGAAAAACAGTGCTCGATTTAGTGGATCTGCTCCCTGTGCATATTCAGAAGTCCATTAGATAAATGTCTTAATAGAATTTTACTGGCTTATGCCTGTTGCCACTGCACAGCCAATTAGGTGGACAGTGGCCTGTTTTTTTCTCTGCACTATCAACAGATAGGTAGTGACTTAGAAAGTCCAAATCAGTTGCAATGCATAACACAACACGAAGATGCCAGTGAAAGCATAATCTGAACATGAGGTGCTATACTAACAATTGCCTGTTTTTGATTAGTAAAGCCTTTAATCCTGCTAAATGATGCATGTAAGGCAAAGAACCAGATTAAGTTAGATCCCAGTCGAGCCTGGAAATTTGAACAGACCTGATCTGACGAACGACTGATAAACATGGACCATCACAATGTCATTTTAACAGGATCTGTATGAAAGTGAACAGTCTTTTTTTCTTGAATGGCTGCTCACAGCTTGTTGCCAGAAATACAACTTCAATTTTATTTTTCATTTGATGCACTAAAGTTGAGAGTGCATGCTTTAAGAGAAAAGCTATACCAATAAATTCTTAACATTAGTACAATGCAGTATGTAATTAAAAATAAAAGTAATAAGTTTGGGACTAATGTGAACAGCTTGACTTCTCCCTGACTATTACTTAAGAACTTGTAATATGAGGTGTGTTAGAGTTAATGAAAATCACCCTAGATGAAATAATGACATAGCATAAAGGCTCTGTGACTTTTTATCAGCACAGTAAAAGCACAAAATACATACCACCCATTGACTGATCTCACATTGCAGTATTTTGATTGCTATTAATAGTCACGTCCCTCAGTAATCTTGAGGACTCTTGTACATCAGTCCTGTTCCCTCTGCTTTTGATGGCAGAAGTAAGCCTCCTACAGATTTCAGTAACTACAAAATGTATCATTACAGTGAAACTAGAAACAAGGTTATGTGCTTATTTACTGAGCTGTCTGTGTGACTACAGGGGCAAAGTCTCTCAGTCCTTAGTCAAACAAATTTATTGTCCCTATTAATTGTAATTAGGGCTATGTGCGAAATTAACTTTTGGTATTCTGTATTTAGAAATCATGTTTTTCTATTTAAAAGAAGGGAGTAGGGGATGCTTTTTGTATGCAGCACTCATGCACTCACCCGTAAAATGGGAGTTGCAGCTAAGCCTCTGAGCTTGCAGCTGAAGGGGTTACTAGGTGGGTGTAAAACTCTCTGCTAGCAGATCCAAAAAGGATTATAGTCTCAGTGTTTGTTATTTTGCATTTTCAGCTGATGCTGGTAGCTTCTCTCTACTGATTGTATTTTACACATTTTATTGTTAGCAGCAGGAGTCGACCACTGCTTTCAATGCTCTGCTGACTTTTCTCCTCATCCCTTTGGTACTTTTTCAGACCTGCAGCTCCCAGTTGTCACCCCTGAGTGCTCCAGCCAGCCTGGGCTGTCAAGGGCCAACAATACAAGCAACATGTCCCAGGACAGTGAAAGCACTTACAAGACACATACTGACCATCTGCAGCACTGGTGGAAGCAGAGGACGAGCTCACAGCTGTAAGCTAATCATTCCCCACACCCAGAAACCATGAGGGCTTCGTCATGCAGTTAGTTGGGAGTCAGGGACACAGAATGTAGCAACAGAGGAGACCACAGCAGATGGAGCACTTGGATGTATTGCACCTCTTATACTTGCATAATGTTTGTTTCTGTGCTAGCCAAGCTCACACATGTTTTGTGTGTGAAAGCTAAGCCTCTATGTTGAGGGCATTGAAGAGTCTAGACAGCTAAATACAGAAGCAGAGACACCCACGAATGTTTAGGTCTCCTGGTGGCTATTTCCTGCTCCCATCCTTGCCTTGCCCTACCACACACACACATATGTAGTCCTTTACCTACCTTAGGTGAAGAACCAAGAAATACTTAAGAACTGGCTGTCCAAGTGCTGTTTCTGATGCTACAGTATCTCACAGATTTTATGCTCTGAGGATCTACCGTTTCTCTCCTCTGCAGAGGAGAGAAAAAGGCCTCCTTAAGATAGGTATTACTAGACTCTTTTAAGAGATAGCAAAATTGAGGTCTAGAAAGGCCACCTATTGCCAAAGATTACACAGAAATGAGAGGAGACCCCTGTGTCATTTACCAGTAATCAGTCTTAGAGAACCACAATTTGTAGTCACCTTCTGGTTTCATTTGCTATGAGGCAGATTGATACGCAGACATTTTAACAGGCATAATAATAATGACATTTGTGAATGTGCCCAAGTATAGCTCAGATTCCCCCAAGGAATAAGATTATAAATAACAATTTTCCCCCCAGTTTTGTTTTGTTTTTTTGGGGGGGGTTTGGTTTGGTTGTTTGTTATTTTGTTTGTTTGTTTTTTGTTTTGTTGGTTGTTTTTTTTTCCCTGTTTCCCTGATTTTTTGGGTGGACTGTGGGAACTGTAGGCCAGTATCTAGAGAGTTATGTCACTTCCTAGACAAAGTTACCTCTTATAATTCTTCTGTGTTTAGCTGATTTATTATGGATTATTCCTAGGTGTCATGGTCTTTCATAATATTTGGAATTATAATTCATAGCTTTTATTAGGGAGAGCATGCAGTACCACATCTTTGTGTCCCTTCATTACATTGAAGAGAGTGCTTGTTTCCTGTATTCACTACAAATCAGTGTTCAATCTGGGTACCTTCACTGCACACTACTGTTAGTTAAGCTGCTTGGATTTCTTTAATGTTTTTACCTCACTCTGAATGTCTGGGGTTTGCAACAGTAACGAAATGCCCACAATGCATTTACCCATATGTACTCAAACATAACTCCCTCCTATATTGAAAGCAATAAAAAGACTTGATGTAAACCATCAAAGCTTTGTTCCAGCCTGCTTGGTTTCATCTACAGTGTTGCTCAACTCAGGCAAAAACAGGCTAATTTCCTACTTCCATTTTTATTGCTTTCCAGGAATGAAGTATCAGCTTCACCAGACCACAAGAATATCCTTAAAGCTCAAGACCTTTCTGTCATCATCAAAGCATATGTACTTGTGACATCCTTAACACCTCTGCGGGCATTCATTTATTCAACCGCCACTGTCTGGCATCCACCCAAGAAGAAGCACTTTTCCATAAAGGTAAAACATTTCATTCCCTAGTTTTTCCATCTTTCAGGCAAAGTACATAAACAGAAAAACAAATGATACCTTTCTTCACTTTTAGCCCTTCTTTATTTGCAGTCCACAACTAACAGTTAATCTCTGCCTGAAGTGCAGCTTTTTCAAAAGAAGCAGGGTTTGCTTCATGAAGCAGGGAAGACTTGCCCTGTGCAAAGGGGGTTATGAAGGGCCCTGGGATTTCCTTGCCTCAGAGCCCATTTTTATTGGTGACATTTGACAGCAGTTGCAAGGTTGGAGCTTTCTCTAAAGCAAAGCAGTGGGGGTGCTGTCATGCAGTAATGTCTTTTACTGTTTTAACAACATTCGACAATGTTGTTAAAACAGAAAGTAAATATTTAAGATAGTTTGTTTTGATTTCTTTTTTAGGTGCAGTAAAACAGAATGGAGGAGGGTCAGGGCACTTCTAAATAGGGGGAAGGAAGTGTACCATGGAGAGGGTGGGCCTCCCACTGTCTCCCTTTAAGAAGAATGTTTCACGTGTGCCTTGACTGGATTAACTCTGGACATCTCCAAGTGCCTGGAGAGGCTCCTCTCCTTGTCTAGTTTTCTGAGAAGTCCTGTAGATTTCCAAACATGCCTTCCAATTCCTTTGTATTTTTCAGCAAGGAACTGTGCTTGCAACATGGCTCTTTGTGAAGGAGCTACAGTTCTGCAGTTGTTCCTTTCCTTTTGAAGGAATAAGGTCACAAAGTAGCAGTGATTTCTTGAGGTCACATAGATCAGCTTCTGCAGCAGCCATCTGAGGATGAGTGCACTTTACTCACATAACCCTTTTGGGGCTGAGTGCTGTGGTGTCACTGTCAGGACTCTTGATGATGACAGCCATTTGGTATGTTCTACAGTTTTAGCTCTCTCAAAGTTAAGTGGCTAGTCTAATCTCATTATCTAATTCTAGTTATTGGAGAAACAGACACTTCTAGAGAACAAATCATCCCACCCATTTTAGACACTAATTTTGCAGTGAGATGAGTTTCCTGCTAAAAGTGTCTGCTTCCTTCTGTGGGCTATGACATTCTTAGAGAAAATGCCAAATTCGAGATTGCTAAAATTAGGAGAGATGAACCTACTTCTGTTTCTTTGTCAGCTCGGAAAGTGTGGAAGCCCACAGAGACTTACTAGTTTGCCACTTATTTTTCTCTGTTTACATTTAGAGAGACTAATGGTCACTCGCTTTCAAATCTTGGGGTTCGGTTTTGTTTTATGTTCATTAAAATAGCACAATGTCCAGCAGCATCACTATTGCAGCTGAAGTAGGGACTGCTTTTAAGGCTAGTAGTCACTAGTAATTGTGATATGGCTCAATTCTGCTGAATGGGGTTCCAGCCACCATTTACAGAGCACTTTGGCAGCTGAAGAAGCAATAAAAATGATAGATAAAAGCAGCAGCACATCTACAGTAGTTTCAATATGGTTACTGCTGCTAGGGTGTTATATCTTTCAGAGCTGTAGGCAGACGTCAAAATGGCAAGAAATAAACAAAAAATAGGCACCACAAAAATCACATTTGCAGTGTTGTGTAGATTAAAAAGCAAATTAACAAAATTATGGAAACTGTGGTGTGTAAGACTATCTCTCAGCATAAACACTGTGCCCTATAAAGAAGCTAGGAGGAGTCATGGAGTCTCCAGGAGAAGTGAGACACCGGGAATTCATGGATTGGCCAGAAAGCACTACTGGAACAATCCTTAAGAGGCCTCTGTGCTTTGTGCAGGAGAATCAGGCAGCAGATTATGAGTCAGAGGCCAATACTTGGGAGTTTTGAATTCAACAATTGATATCCTGTGGGATGAGATTACAAGTTTCTCATACACTTACTTCCTGGAGGCAGTGGGATGCAGAACGCCATCAGAGTGATGCCCTCTCCCATAGTAGCCAGTGGAGCTACATGTTTGTGTCAGCCAAGGAACTTAGACCAGCAAACTCCTAAACTTTCAGTTTTTGCCAGTTTTATTGCACAGGAATGAAAATTGCTTGTTAGGTTGTGAAACTCCAACTTGTTGATAGGCAATAATACCAGGAAGTGTCTTTAAGATCTTTTCTTCCACTGATTGACAGAATAAGCCACCAGTGTCACCAGAGACTGAACATGCCTATAGTGGAGACTTGGGTCTGGAAAAATTAGATAGTGTTTGTAAAATTTGTAGAACAGCTGATTTGCAAGTTTGTGAGCAGATGAGAATAATTTTCATCTGCTGTATTGCCATCATAGATGTGCTGCTTTCAACAATGCTGCACAATAATTCAGAGACCACCTCAGTGTATATAGGCCTCTGGTCAGCAAATTCTCTCCTACCAACATAATTAAACTATTATCAATAAGAAATTCACTCACAATTGTGGTTAACTTGGCTACAACTTTACTGTCACAAACTCAGTATGTTAAATTTAAAATTTTATCCCCTGTGTAACAAGAATGTGGTATATATGGAGAGATTTTTTTAAAGACTGCAGATGGGGTACCAGGTGATATAAAATTATTAAGAGAAACTGTGTAAAGAAGAAAACAGAAGTTTAATGAATTAGATAATACTGCATTCCCCACTGCTTCTTTGTTAGTAAATTATTGTAAATTATTTTTACAACTCATATTTACTTATCCTAATCATACTGGCAAGGCTTCAGAATGACTCCTTGAATAAGCATTGGCCAAATGGCAGTTCAGGAAGAGTTCAAGTGTGTTTTGCTCACCAGCTGCCAGGTTTTTTGTGTATTATGCATATTTTAGTATCTCAGTTCAGAAAGCAAAAGAAGGTAAATCTGAACTGGCACGAGGGCTTTGTAGGTAGTCAAGGGGTGGCAAAAGTATGACTGCATTTGGGCCCTGGTTGGGAATATGTAGGAGGTGCAGGGGAGAGAATGGCTTTCTGCCACACAAATGTTTTGATATGTGACTTGCGTAATAGCTTTGTTTCTTTGAGGAAATTTGGAAACCTCTTATTTAGACCATCTGTGCATTGAAAAACTATTAATAAAATAGAAGCTTTCTATTTTGCATATGGTAGCAATTAAGGGATGGGTCTCTTTCAATGCATGAAATAATTCCATTTGTGTTAATCAACATTATGCATATGTATTGAACAGAAGGCTGACACCTGAATAATTTTCTATTTTATAGAAGCTGGTGTGTGAAACAAGTAATTTAAGATTAATGATCTCAAGGTTTAACATTCTTCAAAGTGCTTCCTTTGTCCTGCCATCAACCTTTCCTTGCCCAGTTCTTAACAAAGGGATGCACTTTTGTTGTCTGTAGTGGTGCCATGTCCTGTGTCACTCAGGAAGGCTCTTCTCTGGTCTTGGCAGCTTCCCATGGCCCCCACTCTGCCTCACCATCCCTTCCCTCATCCAAAATAGTCAGGTGCCTCCTGGGTTTTAATTACTTGACTGGTGTTCTTGCATAGCCCTCAATATCCTCAGCCAAAACTACGCTTTTAAATTATTTTCCAGTTACACAGAGAAGTAAACAGAATTTATTGAAGTAGTTTGCTGTTAAGATTGCTGTGGTATAAGTCACTGTAACTATTGCTGAAATGGTCTCTGTGTGTTAAGCATTTAGAAACTTGATTAAATATTTTTTTATCCTTCACTTACATATAAAAAAACCTGGACCCTCATCTATCCAGGAAATTTATCTTTAGTATGACGTGGAAGGCTGGCTGAGAGCCGAGCACTGTGACAATTAGATTGCAGTATTGCCCTCAAGTGGCCAGTTTTGATACTACTTTAAGTATTAACCACAGATATTTAATGTGACATAGCAGGCAAACATACAGGCTGATAATCAGAAAAATCCTTAAAAACAGGATTTGTTTTATTTTTTTAATTTTTGAATTCCATATTCTTGCTCTGTCAACAGGAGCAAATGCAAAAGAAAATTACCATCAAATCTTAATCAATTTTATTGCAGGGTTATTTGGGAATAAAATTAAATTTGTTCATTAGGTTCTGTAAGAATTTAGCATAACAATTTCCCTGTTCTTGCAAGCAGCCTGTGTAGAGAATCAAAAGTTGTAATGTTTTCTGTCCTCATAGTATCTGGAGCCCTGTCAGTTCTCTTTCCACTGGTGTAAGAATGAATGTCTGTCTGTACTGGGGGAGATTGAAGACATGCTTAGTTTGATATTCTGTTCCTGGAAACAACCAGGCAAGAAATCATCATCAAACTGTGTAACAGGACAAGCATTAAGTAGTATCTGTTGCAAGGCAGACTATACCTATTTTTGGTAAACTGCAAGGTTAGAAACACAAAAATGGAAGTGGAATATAGGTAATAATAAGCTTCAGTGGAATTTTATGCCATGCAATTCTCTACTAGAATGTTTAACCTTTAGTGCTTTTGGTCTTCTCAATGTCTTGTGGCAATGAAACTTCACAGATTAATTATGTGTTGCTTGAGAAGAATATATGTTTGCTTTAAAACTTCTACCCAATTATTTTGTATCCCCAGTTATTTTCTTAAGAGAATGATGAGCAATCCTTCCTTCTTTACTTTCTCCATGTCTGTGCCAATCTGTTATGCAGTGCACAAAAAAAAATATAAAATTCTTCCTGGAGCTCTTTTCTGCTTATCTCATTATGAACATCCCAGTTTAGTTTACTTTAGTTTCTCCCCCTGTACTCAGCACTGGTGAGGCCTCATCTCGGGTACTGTGTCCAGTTCTGGACCTCTCACTCCAAGAATGACACTGAGGTGCTAGAGCAGTTCAGAGGAGAGCAACAAGGCTGGTGAAAGGACTAGAGGGAAAGTCTTATAGGGATAGGCTGAGGGAGCTGGGGTTATTTAGCCTGGAGGAGACTCAGGGGGGACCTTATCAATCTCTACAACTACCTGCAGGGTGGTTGTAGTCAGGTTGGGGCTGGGCTTTTTTTCCAGGCAGCTAGCAACAAGACAATAGGGCACAGCCTCAAGCTGCTCTAGGAGAGGTTTAGGTTGGATATTAGGAAGTAATTCCTCATGAAGA